GATATACAATGCATCCAGGCATAACAAAAATATACAAGGATCTGAAAAGGCATTTTTGGTGGAGCGGTATGTGCAGAGAGATTTTAGAGTATGTGGCTAAGTGTTTTATATGTTAGCAGATTAAGGCAGAACATCAGAGACCTGCAGGAACCCTACAGCCTTTACCCATTCCCGAGTAGAAGTGGGCAGATATTTCTATGAATTTCATAGTAGGGTTGCCTAAGTCAAAGAAAGGAAATGATTATATTTGTGTCATAGTGGACAGATTGACTAAGTCTGCACATTTCTTACCAGTGAGGACGACTTATACGGCAGATATGTATGTGAGGATCTTCATTCGGGAGATTATTAGATTACATGGAGTCTCGGAGATAATTGTATCAGATCGGGGCTCAGTCTTCACATCTTATTTTTGGAGGAGTTTTCAGGATGATTTTGGCAGTCAGTTGTTATTTAGCAGTGTTTTTCACCCCCTAGACAGATGGTCAGACCAAGAGGGTGAATCAGATCTTAGAGGACATGCTGAGAGCGTGCATTATGAATTTTCAGGGTAGCTGGGAGGATCACATCCCACTGATTGAATTTACATATAATAACAGTTATCAAGCTACCTTCGGGATGGCACCGTATGAATCTTTGTACGAGAGACCTTGCAGATCACCCATAAGTTGGGCAGAGCCAGAGGATAGTCTATTTATTGGTCCGAAGTTAGTTAGACAGACCACGGAAAAGGCAGCATTGATTCGAGAGCGCATTCTTGCAGCCCAGAGTCGGCAAAAGAGCTATGCAGATAAGAGAAGACGACATTTAGAGTTTCAGCTCGGAGACTTAGTTATGTTGAAAGTATCACCGATGAACGATGTTCAGCGTTTCAGGAGACGGGGGAAGCTTGCCCCGAGATATGTTGGTCCTTTCCGGATCATCGAGCGCATTTGAGCTGTTTCTTACATGTTAGACCTACTAGCATCGATGTCGAGTGTACATGATGTTTTTCATATTTTGATGCTTAAGAAGCATCTACGAGATAATGAGCAGCAGAGAGTGATTGACTCACCAGAGATTGAGATCCAGGATGACTTGACTACCGTAGAGATTCCGGTATGCATACTTGCTAGAGAGAATAAAAAGCTTATAAATAAAGTCATTCCATTAGTAAAAGTGCAGTGGAACCGGCAAGGAGCCGAAGAGATTTCTTGGGAACGCAAGGAGGATGTTCGTCACGACTACCCGTACCTGTTTGGACATGTATGATGTTGATGCTTTGATAATTATCATTTATCTATGTTGTTTAGACACAATAATATTTTTAACACATTTATATTTATCTTTAACACTAGAATGAGGATATTGTCACCTGATCCTTAATCATTTGAAACATATGGTATATACATGAGGGTTTCCTTGTTTGGTTTATTTCGCTCGACGTACCAATTTTGTTTGATTAGGGATTTAGGTGAGAATGTTTGTATTCTAAGTTGTTAACTTTAAATATCTTTGTGCTAATACTATAAGATGGGTGCAGAAGGTTTTCTATGTATGAAATACACCTTCTTAATGAGTTTTCCCAGTTATTAAGCTTTGTGATGCGACTACGGAATTTCGAGGACGAAATCCTCTTAAGGGGGGGTGAATGTAAAACCCTGATAATTTTTGAATGATATATTAATATGAGATTAATTATGATATATGGATATTAAGTATGATAAATATCATTAAATGGTATATGAGTATAATACCATGTGTTTTGAGTATGAACAAGTTCATACATGAGAGAGAAAAGAGTCGAAGCATGCACAATGGGTCGACCGTGACGGTCGACCGCGAAAACTGCAGAGTATTTTTGAATCCTGTTTTGAGTTGGTTTCAGATTTCTAAACCCATATTCATTTTCCCTGATATATATATATATGAGTTTTTCACGTTTTTCTCAGTTTTCCTAAGAACCCTAACAGCCATCAAAACCCCAAAATCCTAGTTTGATTTCTTGGAGAAGATTGGAGGCTTTCGAACGGGATTTTCTTGGTTTTTGGCTTTTGGAGTGGAGATTTCTTTCAACATTGCTTCTAAAACTTTTTTCGACAATCTCATGCGAGTATCATCTTTGCTAATCCCCCTTCCAGTTTTAAAAACACTTTTAAAGAGATTTAAATATGTTTTGTAGAGCCTAAATGACTAGATTATGAATAAAAGACAACTCGTTTGTATTATATGTATAAAGATTAGGTCTTTTTATGCTAAAAAGATTGAGAATGAATTTTACAGATGTATTTAAGATCTAAAGATGATTTTAAAACGTGGTTAATCTAAAGAAAGAAGTTTGATTCGTCGTTTTGAGCTTTAATGCATGTTTTAGGGTTTTGAATATAAATATAATGCATAAAATCATGGTTATATATGTTGATTTTGTTTCCAGATATTTCTATTTGCTATAACATGTTTGTATATAAGATTCATGAAGTTTTTACCATGTTTAAATCACAAAAACACGACGTGAACACGACACACACAAAAAATCATGGAAAACTAGATTTTGGGCTCACGGTCGACCGCCACGGTCGACCGCATGTAGGGCAGAGACCTGGGTAGTCTCTGGAGCCCGTCGCGGTCGACTGCCACGGTCAACCGCCAGTCTGATGTTGGCCTGTGCATGGTTTTGGTTTGATTTCTATTTGTCGAGCGTTTCTCTTGACCTTGTGATGATTAACTAGAATGTTAAAACTTGTTAAACATCTGGGATGATGGTGAACTTCAGATGCGGACACGCACACCGAGATATGTGCACTTATGCTTAGTTTGTGTGAATTAACACACTTTTGTTTCAAGATAAAATTTATAAATACACATGACTAGTATTTGATCTTTCACGTATCCGGAAATAGGAAGAAAAAATCTATTATCGCAGAACGATTGAGTAAGAGTATTAAAATACTGTTGTTATTACATGTATCCGGAATAGGGAGATAATAAATCCTATTGTCGTAGAGCGATTGAGTAAGAACATTATAAGAGTATCGCTATAGCACAAGATGATGCACACATAGATATTTGATCAGTTGTAAGTTTTACTTCCATGATAGATTACCAGCGAGTAGGGTATTTCATTTGAGATTTTGGCACACCCGTTATGGACGGCAGTTATATATTCGTTTTGGTTTGGTTGACATCCTCTTATATTAGAGCAAGCTACTCGGATGTAATTCGAGATGATGTATGTATTCTTTATGTTAGAGATTTGAGTATGTTTCCTCGACTATCTGTTTTTCATAGAGATCTATATGAATGATTTGATATATGTAAGTACTGACTCTATTTTCTTATACACTCCTACCCCCTTCCTCTGGAGAGAGGTAGTGATGATCTCGCTAGCGCTTTAACGCTCGTTGTTTCCCCTCTTTTAGTCAGCGAGTCCGACGCACGAAAAGTCGCAGGATGATGGGACTCCTTAGTTGTCCATTTAGCTATTTATTATACTTTGTAGTTATTGCAGAACTCCACATGTAGTTGATTATTTTCATACTCTAGATTGGTACTTTATTTTAGAGTTGAGAGCTCTTGTGAGACTTTGTTTATTTGACTCATTGCATTTGAGATCCAGTTTACACTCAGAGATATTTCTATTCTATTACAGTTGGGCTCATTCTTGATATTTCTTATGATTCTTCTGTGTATATCCAATGTTGCCTGTTTCTATTTTGCCTATCTGTACCTTCACCTATTTATTATTTCTACTAGAGAGATAGTGATTGTGATGGTGAAACATGTCGTAGCATGGTGGTTGGTGCTTGGAAGGTTTAACAATCTGGGTTTCATCAGAGACTGCAGCCTTGTGTGAACCCTGGGGCGTCACAAGTGGGGAGCGAAGACGTAGGACGGAAGGTCCAAACTCCGTGATCTTATTGTTTTTGCATAGTTTATATTGTCCTATCACATTTGTTTCTTTAGCTTAGATTGTTTATTTCACCCTTGTATTAGTTTATATATCCTTGCATATAATTCACCATATATCTCTTTGCTAGGACATATCCCTTTGCTCATATTGCTTATTCTTGCTCATAAATGGTTGTATATTATACTTACAAGAATATATTTGTTAATTAGTTTTAATTGGTATAAAATCGGATTAGATTAGCATAAGACCCTAATCACCCCCCCCTCTCTAGGGTCTAACATCTTGGACGACTCGAATGGCGGTACTAGTCGGTCCTCTTATCGAAGACGACTCGCCATAGGAGCCCACTCGACCAATTATTCAGCGTCTTGTGAGACGACTCGAAAGGCGTTACTTCTCGACCAAGTCACAGGATGACTTCATCCTCAAGCTTCCCCCACTGACAACGTGTTAATATTGCATTTAATGCTTGGTAGGCGCCATCATGCCTTTAGCCCCAATAGCCTTCATGACTCATCGGACCACGTTGGCACTGCCATGCCTCTAGTCAACTTGCATTTAATGCTGAGGTGATCTCTCCTCCACTCGCCGGACGACACGTGCAAAGTAAGTGCTGACACAACAGCCACGCTATGCTCATTTGTTGCCCTACTGTGCTCTGCCGAAGTGACCACTCTACCCTTCTTCTACCATTATAAGAAGAGTTACTATTCCAGATACCAAGGTAACTAATTCTAAGTTATTCTAAGCCATTCTTGACAATTTCTAAGCAATATCGCGCTTAAGAACTCACACAGTTCTTCATTATTTCCCCACTCAAGCTCACAAACGGACTGGATCGTCGGAGGAAGCACGAAGGAACAAAGCCCAGTCCTCTGCAAAATGTTCTTTTTGTAGACTTCAGCTACTCAACTTAGAACCAAATATTTAGGGAAGGGAGCGGCCCCTCAACAACCTCATCCAACCATTTTAATTGACTGTGTGATCATTGACATCAACATAATCTAAACAACTAAAAATGTGTATCCTGTTAAAACACATGTGTATGAAATGAAACTCAGATCGAGCGACTGAAATCATTGGTAAGAGTTTGAAAATATGACATGCAAACCTGAGCGCAGTACGGTCTTTTACTGAAGAAAGAGGTTGGTAGAACTCCATTTTAGCGATTAATCGAGCATCAACTCCTTCCTTTTTCGCTATATTTTTCAGTTCTATCAATGGTGTCCATCCTACAAGCTAGACATACAAGCAAAACATTGATCATCCTATTTACCATAAAATTAAGGGTAAATAACACTAAACCCCTATGAACTTTTAGTGTTTTGCAGTAAACCCCATGAACGTTCAAAATCACATTAAACCCCGAATAACTTTTGTAGAAAACCCATATGAACTTTTAAAAAAATTACACTAAACCCCCCATGAACTTTCAAAATGCCTTTTTATTTGGTTCTAATTTATGGGGTTATCTACAAAACTCAGAAAGTTCATGGGGGTTTTGTGCAATTCCTGAAAGTTCATGGGCGTTTAGTGTGATTTTAAAAGTTCATGGGGGTTTACTGCAACGCTGAAAGTTCATGGGGATATAGTGTAGTTTTTTAAAGTTGATCAGAGTATGGATTTTGACAATACTTGATAATCTTACAAAATGATCTCTGAAATATAATTGTATTCTTGGCAAGTAAAATGGTCACAGAAGTCATAATTCCAAGTTACCATCAAGATTCAGGCAAACTATAACATATATCTGACTTGGGTGATGCATCAAAATAGGCATCAAAAGAATAGCTGAAAGTAATTAAGAAAACATGATTTTTTTCATCTAAAATAGGAACAAGAACATCTAGATGAAGCAACCCCAAACCATAACAAAAATTTTATTTTAAAAATAAATAATACAAGCAATTTGTATACCTGGGTGATGTCTGAGACAATGTTCTCTCTATCACCATCATTATGCGCCGAAGCAAAAGAAGCTAGGCCTCTTCTAACTTCCATTTCCTTCTGGTTGTTGTTTCCTCAATTTCCCTCTCTACAGCGAGACCCACGAGCGCTCTATCTTAGAATTTATTATTATTCTATGTTGGAAAGTGATAATATGCACCAGCCCTGCTTTTTAACTCGCGGCCGCCCAACTCGCGGGCGGGTCTTGCGAGCCGCCCGCGAGTTGGGCGGCCGCGAGCCAAAAAAACTTTTTGGAATATGCACTGAAGCAAAAGAAGCAAGGCCTCTTCTATCTTCCGTTTCTTTGTGGTGTTGTTTCCTCAATTTCCCTCTCTACAGTGAGCCCCACGAGCGCTTTATCTTAGAATTTTCTATGTTGGAAAGTGATAATATGCACTGAAGCAAAAGAAGCAAGGCCTCTTCTATCTTCCATTTTTTGTGGTGTTGTTTCCTCAATTTCCCTCTCTACAGTGAGCCCCACGAGCGCTTTATCTTAGAAGGATGTTGATGGGCATTCATTTTTTGCTAAAAAAAGTAAATATTTATTATTAAACTTTCGCTGATTCATCTCTTGTTTGTGAAGTTGCACTAATTTCAGGTGTTGCCAGTCAAGGTATGCTAGTTCATGATTATTTGGTATTAGCATGGTAAGAATTTAAGCATTTAGTGTTATCATGCTAAATGTATTTCTTTTGATTGCAGGACCTGCGCATTGCGAATTGTCGTCCTCTATTGAACCCGAACCTTCATTTGACCCGAGTATTATGAGGAGCAAAAATTTAGAGAAAGCCTGGAGATCTCTTCTAGCAAGTTTCTTTCAAAAGAAGCTTCTTGGGGAGATGGTTATGGCAATGGATTTTGCTCTCGCGGTTAATGCTCTAGTGAAGTCTGTTGTTCAATTGGGCATACCTCCAAGTGATTGGATTTCACAATGCCGAGAGGTTGAAAAACTCCTTTTTAAAAATGATAGAATGCGCGCGCCTCTTCACAGTTTCAAGTTGCTAGAGAAGCAAAACTGAAAGATATCGAAATATGCTACTCGGTGCTTCTTGACCATGTGCTAGTGCTAGATAAGTCTCAATAGAAGGTGGAAAATACGGTGGCTGAAGTCGACAAATTGACGCATAAAAGTGAAGAAACTCAAAAGAAAATTTGTTAACTGCTATGAAAGCTGGGAGACAAAAGCATGCATACGAAACTGAGTTATTATCCGTCACCAAGGATGAACTTAGCAAGAAGCAAGAGACTGTCAGAGAATTACTTTGTCAAAAAGAGTGTTTTCAAAAGGCTAGGGAGGAGGCAAAAACTTCGATCAACTGATATTCCTTAGACTTCTTTTTGGATTTCAGTTTATTTGCTTTTCTTCTTTTTTTAGTAGATTATTACTAAGAAACTCTATCTGTCTCTCTCCTTTCTTTTCTTTTTTGAACATTTTGTTTGTTTTGCTTTCATTGCGAACAACTTTGAATAAAGTTATAGTAGATGTATTAGATAACCAGTGCTTTGCATGCATGCCACATCTCATATCGATTAGTAACAATATTCACATAGGTTTGTTGTTTTCGTTAAAGGATAAACTCAAACATTGTCAGTTTATTTTTTAAGTTGTTTGGAGATAAGAACTCTGATTAGTTTTCAGGTCTTAGAATTCTGTTTAGTTTAGTTTTTTGTTTACAGTTTGTTTTTTTCAGAGATTATTAATAGAGTTGTACTCGGTTAAAAGGAATAAGAGAGAAGGAAAATATATGATTAAGAGTTGATAGAAAAGCTCAATCTGTTCTTGTTTTATTTCCTCTTCTTCAGCAATCAGAAATCTGCACGTTTCTATCATCTGTTCTTGTTTATTAGCATTCTGTTTTTGTCAAATTGGTATCAGAGCTATGGTGAATTCAGGGAGTACATCGCTGGGGCAGATACCGTTGCCACGACTCACCAAGACAAACTATGATAACTGGAGTATTCAGATGCGTGCGTTGCTTGGTGCGCAAGATGCATGGGAAGTAGTCGAAGTTGGCTATGAAGAGCCGGAAGCAACGGCTAATCAGACTGTGAATCAGATAAAGGCGTTCAAAGAAACGCGTATGAAAGACAAGACCGCTCTCTATTTATTGTTTCAAGCAGTGGATGAGTCGGGTTTCGAGAAAATTGCTGGTGTGTCAACTTCAAAGGAAGCGTGGGACACTTTGCAGAAGGTGTTCATGGGCGCTGACCGAGTTAAACAAGTGCGGCTTCAAACTCTTCGAGGCGAGTTGGAGGCCATGAAGATGAAGGAGTCAGAAGGAATATCCGACTACATCACGCGTGTGCAAACAGTGGTGAATCAACTCAAACACAACGGAGAAACCCTAACCGAGGCAAGGGTTGTGGAGAAGATTCTACGGTCATTAATCGAGAATTTCGAGAACGTTGTATGTGCAATTGAGGAATCGAGAAATTTGGAAGATATGATTGTCGATGATCTCGCTGGTTCTCTTGAGGCACATGAACAACGGAAGAAGAAGAAGAAACAAGAGCTGCACGAGGAGGCCTTACAAGCTAAAGCAACTATCAAGGAGGACAAGGAGATGTACACACAGCAAAACCGAGGAAGGGGACGTGGCCGTGGAGGTCGCAGTTTTGGTCGTGGTGGAGGCCGCGGATGTGGAAATAATTATGAAGAAAAGGGCCAGCCGAGCCAACAAAATTGGCGTGGTCGAGGACGTGGTCATGGGAGAGGTGGCCGGTCAAATCGTTCAAATGTCGAATGTCACAACTGCGGCAAGTATGGGCACTACGTAAAGGAGTGCTATTCAAGTGTAGAGTGCTACAATTGCGGCAAGTATGGGCACTATGCAAAAGATAGAGGATGGGAAAGTATGGGCAAGTATGGGCACTATGCTACAATTGCTACAATTGCGGGCACAAACACCTCTTTGTGGAGATGCAAAAGATAGAGGATGGGCACGTGTCATTTGGAGATGCGTCGAAGGTTCAAGTCAAGGGCCGAGGTAAAATCTGTTTTTTTCAGAAAGATGGTAAAGAAGGGTCGATTGAGAATGTTTACTATGTGCCCGAATTGAAGAGTAACATCCTTAGCATGGGGCAACTAATGGAGAAGGGATATTTAGTTTTTATGAAAGACAGGATGTTGCATTTGAAGGACAAAACAGGTCGGTTGCTTGCACATGTGGAGATGGCCAAGAATCGTATGTTCAAACTCAACTTGAGAAACGTGCAAGAAAGGTGCTTGCAAGTTAACATGGAGGATAAAGCCTCGCTGTGGCACCTACAGTTCGGACACTTATATTACGGCGGCCTAAGAGAATTAGCAAAGAAGGATATGGTACACGGGCTACGAGACATGGATTACATCAAGAAATTCTGCGAGGATGTGTGCTCGGAAAACAAGCGAGGAATACTTTTCCAAAGAAGGCTGAATATCGTGCAAGGAGGTCTCTCGAATTGATACACACCGACATATGTGGTCCGATCACACCTAAATCATTTAGTGAGAAGAGGTACTTTATTACTTTCATTGACGATTACACAAGAAAGACTTGGGTGTATTTTTTGAAAGAAAAATCTGAGGCACTCGAGGCGTTCAAGAAATTCAAGGTGTTAGTAGAGAAAATGATCGGTCTTTATATCAAGGCTCTACGGTCAGATAGAGGCGGAGAATATATGTCAACCGCCTTCACGAGCTATTGCGAGGAACATGGGATCAAGAGATTCTTAACCGCACCCTACTCACCTCAGCAAAATGGTGTGGCCGAGAGGAAGAACCGGACTATTCTTGACATGGTTCGGTCAATGTTGAAGAGCAAAGAGATGCCGAAGAATTTCTGAGCAGAGGCAGTGCAGTGTGCTGTGTATGTGCAAAACCGCTATCCACATGCAAAACTGGAGGATAAAACACCGCAGGAAGCTTGGAGCGGACAGAAACCAACCGTATCACACTTAAAGGTATTCGGGAGTGTAGCCTACGTGCACGTACCAGATCAAAGAAGAACCAAACTAGATGATAAGAGCAAGAAATATGTCTTCATCGGTTATGACAAGAAGACAAAAGCTTACAGGTTATTCGACCCAATTGAAAAGAAGGTTGTTGTGAGTCATGATGTGCAGGTGAATGAAGAAAGCACGTGGGATTGGAATTGCCAAAAGGAGGTGACGCAAAAGGAAGGAAAAGAATCATCAATCGCTGCACAATAATCAAACTAACAACCCCTCAAGAATCTGATGATGAAGAAGAGCCGAGACAACCAAGGATGCGAAGTTTGCAAGACCTATATGAATCAACAAGCGAAGTACACTTGGTATGCTTGTTGGCAGATGCCGAGAATATCACCTTCGAAGATGCAGTGAGAGATAAGAAATGGCGAGGCGCGATGGATGAAGAGATAAGAGCTATCGAAAGAAATGAAACCTGGGACTTGGTGGAGTTGCCAGAAGGATATCAGCCTATAGGAGTAAAATGGGTATATAAGAAAAAGATGAATGTTCAGGGCGAGATAGAAAGGTATAAGGCACGGCTAGTTGCGAAGGGCTATAGACAAAAGGTGGGGATTGACTATGATGAAGTGTTTGCCCCGGTTGCGAGAATGGAAACAATTCGGCTTCTTATATCCCAAGCGGCACAATTCAGGTGGCTGAGTTTTCAAATGGACGTAAAATCAGCCTTTTTAAATGGTGTGCTTGAAGAGGAAGTATATGTGGAGCAACCACCCGGATACATGAAAGCCGGGGAGGAGAATAAAGTGTTGAATCTAAGGAAGGCGCTGTATGGGCTGAAGCAAGCGCCTCGAGCTTGGAACACACGAATCGATACCTATTTCAAGGAGAACGAGTTCATACAGTGTCCCCACGAGCATGCTTTGTACATGAAGAAAGAAAAGAGTAACCTATTGTTTTTTCTCTTTATGTTGATGATCTTATATTCATGGGGAATAATGAGGAGATGATAAAAGATTTTAAGGAATCTATGACTCAGGAGTTCGAAATGACAGACTTGGGGTTGATGAAATATTTCCTTGGTCTTGAGGTTAGACAAGGAAAATCTGGAATATTTGTGTCTCAAGAGGCATATGCAAAAGACATTTTGAAGAAGAACAAGATGGAAGAATGCAACCCAGTAGCAAC